TATGTTTCAAAGGTTCAATAAATAAAATTCTTTGATGATAAGTCAAATACAGATAAGCAATGTTCACATTAATTTGATTTTGTGTTTTTTTTTTTTTTTTCTTATGAAAATTAAGTTTATGCTATGAAATTATATTCAAAATTTTCGATAGTCGCTAAATTTTAAAAAGGAATTTTCTAGAATGAATATAAATTTTTTCTAAACTTTATAAAAGAAATTTACAAATATTTAAAACAATTTAAAATAACTTTAACTTTTAATTAATTGTAAATATTCAATTTAATTAAAGAAAGCCGATTATTGACTATTTTTTTTTTTTTTTTGGTAATAAATTATCAAAATAATTCATTTTTTTTTTTTCTTTTCAGGGAATCATAAAAATATTCGAAATCCATTAGTTAAAATTTCTCTTAATGATTTATATAGTTTTGAAGTGATACATAAAAAAAAACATTTGATCTTTTACGAAAAAGGAGAACTGATATACACATTTTCCTTTGAAATTCGTCGGATAGAGAATTTTATCACATTTCTCAATAATTTTTTAACTACAACTGTGTAGGTTTTTATTTTTAAATCACTCCTTTTAATACTTTTATTGCTTTGTAAAATGTATGAAGCAATCATTACTCCTAAATTAATTACAGTTCATGTAAATTATATTCATTTGATAAATGTTTTTTGATTTATTTGACGCAGTTCGAAAAAAAAGCCAAACTTATTCATTGTCAAAAGTCAAAAGGAAATACAAAGCTTGGAACAGTCATTTGCAGAACTTAATTTATTTACCGATGATAATACCAGAAGTGATGCAATTTGGAGTTTTATCAAAAATCTACAGGACAGACCATATGAAACCACACTGAGTGCATTTAGTAAAGTGACTGATGCATTTTGTAAGTGATAAAAAAATTTCATTATATCCAAGCAATAATTTATATTATGTCTGTTACTTAATAATCTGCTCTATTAGTAGTGCATAAAACGATAAAATTTTTTTTTTTTTTTTCTAGCGTATAAGCCACAATTTACAGAAGTTAACAATGGCACAGATATATTGAATAAAAGTTTTGCATCTGAAGAATTCCCACAATTTTCATACTCGATTTCTCCTGATGATTTTGAACTCTCTTCAAAAGAATCACTTTTACCGCCCAGAACTCTTCCACTTAGATCTTCTCCTTTAAATGTTGAAAAATGGAGTGCATACATTGATGATTCAGGTCGAATTCAAGATTTGAACGCAGTTAAAGATATTATTTTTCATGGAGTATGTAATTTTTTTTTTTAGTTACACACAGTGCAATTTCAAAATTATAAATAATTTGTTATCTTTTTTTTTTTTTTTTTTTTCAGGGAATTTCTTGGGATTTGAAATCTGAAGTTTGGAAATTTTTACTCGGCTATTATCCTTGGGATTCGACATTTTGCGAAAGAGAAGTTATTAGAGAAGAAAAAAAAAATTATTATTTTACAATGAAAGCACAATGGAAGACCAAGACTTTAGAACAAGAAAATAATTTTTTTGATTATAAAGAAAGAAAAAGTTTGATAGGTATGAATGATTTTGTGCAATTAAGCATAATTAAAAATAAAGTTTTAATTCATTATTATTATTTTTTTTTTTTTTTTGTTATAGAAAAAGATGTGTGTAGGACGGATAGAAATTTGGAATTTTTCGCCGGAAACGATAATCCCAATATAGTGACGTTAAAGGAAATTTTAATGACTTATGTTATGTATAATTTTGATTTGGGTTACGTTCAAGGTATGAGTGATTTACTGTCTCCACTCCTCATGCAATTGAAAGATGAGGTGGACACTTTTTGGTGTTTTGTCGGTTTTATGAATAAAGTGGTGAGTAGTAGTGAGTGAAACATTATTTGAGTGAACATTGCAAAATAGTTTTCAAGTTTTAAAAGGAAATTTAAATTATTCCAGTATCGTAATTTTGACATAAATCAAGCCGAAATGAAAGAACAATTGTGTCAGATACATTGCTTATTACGTGTTATCGAACCTGAGCTGGCCAATTATTTGGAACGTCACGAATCAGGAAACATGTATTTCTGTTTTCGATGGGTGCTTATTTGGTTTAAAAGAGAATTTAATCATGATCAATTATTTACTCTATGGGAAGCACTTTGGACTGATTGGCCTTGCAAAAATTTTCACTTACTTGTGAGTGCAGCCATCTTGGACACAGAAAAAGATAGAATCATTTCAAATAATTATGGTTTTACTGAAATTTTAAAGGTACGAATGAATATTACAAAACTCATATATATACATTTTTTTTTGAAACTATTCAACCATTTTATTCGATTTTGCAGCACATTAATGAATTAGCAAATAATATAGATTCTGATATGATTTTAAGAAAAGCAGAAGGGATTTATTTTCAATTATCTACAGCTTCTAAAATTCCTTCAGCCGTGAGAGAAATTATCGGATTACCCCCATTGCCACAATTAGATTCAGATGAAGTTGTATCTGTAAAATCAGATTCTAATAAGGAGTCTATAATAGAAAATGAGAAAAATGCTGCTACCACTTACAGTCCTTTTGAAAACAATGAAATAGCTTTTGATAATTCATTAAGTTTACAGTATCTTTGATATCATAATAATAATAATAATAATAATAATAATACAACAGTTTATCTTTCACTTTATATTCAGTTTGAAACATTCAAAATGGTTTTGTATATTGTTTGTGTTGAAACTAAAGTAATCAGTTGATGGTAAAAATTGTGAAAAGCATTTAATTTTTAAGTGAAAATATTTTTTGTAAATTCAATTTTGAAGTCAATTCCATTAAAAAAAAAAAAAGAAAAACTGTATATCACATTTAATATATATATATTAAAGTAAAGTTTAAGTAATTGTTTTTTTATATTTTCATAAATTTAACCAATTAATCACCAAACAACAACAATTTATTAAATAATTTCCAAGTTTAAATTATGAATATTTTTTACATAATGAAATAAATAAAAACTATATAAGAAAAAAAAGTGTGAATCTAAGGACAAAATTTTTCAAATATCAAATATCATTTAAGTTTTAATTTTATAATTCAAATATTAGTTTTCTACGATTTCAGGCTTTTAAATTACTTATTAGGTATGAGTAAAATTTTAACCGTATTGTTTTTCTATTTTTAAAATTTATGAGTGATTTCATCAGTCGATAATTTTAACTGGAGCCAGAAGCGTTAAAAAAAATAACGGAACTTTATCAGTGCTACCAATTACATTATAATGTAATTCACCCGTGCTCAGAAATGTGAACAAAAATGAAAATGAAAATTAAAGTACAAATTAAACTGACAAAAAAAAAAATTATAGTAAATGGCGAGTTTTAAATAAATAATTTTAATTTTACAACAAATCAAAGGGTAAGTTTTTTTATATTAATATATCGTTTACTGTTTTTATTTTTATATTGTAATTAACAGAAACGCCCTTACATTACTTAGGATTACTCATTGTATGCGGCAATTGTTTCATTTTATCATTTTACAATTTCAAATAATTTGAATTTTATATTATTTATTTTCTATTTTGCAAAAAAAAAATTGTTTTTACTCACTACTGACGTTTAAATAAGTTTTTTATTAAGTTTCATTGAATAATTTATGTCAAGGTCTTTCATATAACTAAAATTTTTTATTCTAATAAAGTTTCGCGATTGTAAATTGATTTAAATAACAACAAATAAAAAAAAAATAACAATGAATAGTTTTGAGATTATTGTATTAATAGAAAAAAAGAAAATGGATAATAATTAAAATATTTTTATTAAAACTTGATGCTTTCAAAGGATATGATATTGAAAAATATCATTGGATTAAAAAGGTATTTATAAAAAATTTATATTGTTGAAGGTGATTAATATATTTTTAATGACAATTTAATCGAATAGTTTCTGTTTTTCATAAAATTTATTACCACTTCTTCAACTAAACATTGAACAAAAAATAATAATAATAATTGTAAGTATTTAAAATTCATTTAAAAATAAAAATTTTGACATTTTCATGTGAAAATAATTTAAACGAATGAATTCACATTATTATTTAAATAATAATAATATGTTTTCGGTTTTATATCATAACATGTGGTTTTAAACAGTTTTTTGTTTTTTTACAAAATGTGTTGTTTTCATTTGTTAATCATCAAATTTCATTTTAAAACAAATTTTTTAACATAAATCTTCTTCGAATAAATATTTATTTAATAAAATTTTTTTTTTTTTTCCATTTAATTTTAATGTTTGAATTTTTTTTTTTTTTTGAATCGATTTCAATTATTATTTATTAAATTTTTTTTTTTTTTTTTTGAGAGAGAGAGAGACAAAATTTATTATGATCAAGTAATCATTAGATTTTCAATCAAAATCTTAGCCAAATTAAATTTAAATTTAAATTTATGACGTCATAAATAAAGTCACATAAGAAAAAAAATTTTATTTTTTTTTTATTTTTTTAAATTTATTTTAATTTTGACTTGTGATTATTTATCGGAATGTGTTTCTTATGTTTACCTTACGCGAGTGTCAATTTTTTAAAATAATACCGTTCGTACATACGTGTTAATAACATTTTTTTTAATTACATGTAATTAGTTTTAATAATTTGTTAATGACAATAATAATAACTTAATAATAACAGTATTATGTAATAAATATGGGACAAAAAAAAAAAAAAAAAAAACAATTTTTTTTTTGAGCGAACTTAAGATCACACGTAGAATTCTTAGATAAAATAAAAATTATCGTTATTATTATTATTATTTATCCATATCCAATGTGCTGCCTTCGTGTCAGTTTATTATTAAGAATTAATTGTTTAAAATGTCACAGAATATTATTTATTTATTTTATATTAAAATTCCAGGTACGATACACACACATATGTTTGCTCATAAAGGAAATAATAAATTATTAAAAGTATGCAAGACGTAGACGAGTACGATGAGTTACCGGATGATGTTGAAAGAGGAACAATCGGATCCATTTTATTCGATGAAAAAGAAGATGGCGGTAAAAAATTGTTTCTTTTTTTTTTTTTTTAATTGATATAAATTTATTTAATAAAGTGTTCCTTTTGTAATATTTAAATTTTTTTTTTGATACGTAGAAGGAAAAGAAGTTCCATTTTTATCGGTACATAACGAACCCGTTGGATTTAAAAGTAGGAAAAGGAGTATATTTATTCCAAATACACCGATCACGGCCAAAATAATTAAATATGAAAGAAGCGTAACGACTCATTTATTACATCCTTACTTGTGAGTTAATAAAAAAAAAAAAATTTCATTGATTTAAGATCGAAAAAAGAGAATCGATTAAAGTTTTTTTTTTTTTTTATTAAATGATCTTTATTAGATACACAATTGAATTGCAACATGGAAATTTCACGTGGGTCATTCAAAAACGTTACAAAAGCATTCAATTCCTTCATCAGCAACTCAAATTATTTCGAGCAACATTAATGATACCATTTCCAACAGAAAAACATAGAAACGATAGAGAAAATTTTAAAGAATTAAAAAAAAGTGGGGAAAATGAGGAGGGAAAATCTAAAACTGCTTTGCCTAGGTTAATAAAAGAAAATTTTGTTGTTTTTTTTTTTTTTTTGGGGGGGGGAGGAGGAGGAGGGGGATTCAATATTGAATGATAATGAAAAAAATTTTTTTTTTTTGTCAACAGGTTTCCCAACAAACCGGAAGTTTTAATAGGATACGATCAAATAGATAAAAGAGTAGAACAATTGGAAGATTATTTAAACAAATTATTAAATATAAAACTTTATAGAGATCATCCGGAAACGATTGAATTTCTTTTGGTCAGCCATTATTCTTTCATTAAAGATTTAGGGGATAAAGGGAGAGAGGAATTTATTGAAAAACAAACGGGGAGCATGCAAAGAAGTTGCGATTGTTTCGGTTTACTCGAAGCTTTAAACTGTTGCGGACCGTAAGGAAAATTTTTAATTGACCAATTAAAATATTTTATTTTATTTGAATTGTGTATTAAAAAATTTTCATTTCAAGGTGTTCCGATTTTTGCACGTATAATTGTAATCGGTGGAAAAAACGATGGTTATTCGTCAAAGACACGTTCCTCGGTTACGTGAGAGCCAGAGATGGTCTTTTACGCGGTATCGTACTTTTCGATCAGGAATTTGAAGTAGCCAGCGCATTTTCCAACGTGAGAAGACGTGATAAGCTTCAAATATTGAATTTGCAAAGAAGGTTGTTGGTCAAATGCGACGGAAGTAAAAAAAGACAAGATTTGTCCAATTACATAAAAGAAACGGCAAAAAAACAAGGTGCGACCGATATTTTTATTCGTTATTAACACGTGTTTATGAATGACGTTAATGGAATTTAATGATGTCAGGTTACGGGTTTACTCACGACAACAAATATTCATCTTTTGCACCGAAAAGATCCGACTGCACAGCTTCGTGGTATGTCGACGGGTCATCTTACATGTCGGCCGTTGCAGACGCCATTAATAGTGCAAAAGAAGAAATTTTCATTACGGATTGGTGGCTGAGCCCTGAAATATATTTAAAACGTCCAGTATTAAGAGGTAATCATGAATGGAGGTTGGATTGTCTCCTACAAAAGAAGGCTGTAAGTGATTCTACTATATAAAATTATATAATAATAGTTGGAATGGTAGCTAGCTTATTTTATTTGGTAGAAAAGTAGTGATTAATATGATATTTGTACTCAAGATTTTAAGTTGCTTCCATCTTTCAAGATGGGGGGGAGAGGGAGGGGAGGGGAGGTTAAGTAGTATTCCCATTATTCATTCATCAAACCATAATCGAATTGTTTTTTTTTTTTTTTTTTTTTTATTCATTAGTTTTTAGTACATTTTATTTTTTTTTTATTATAGCAAATTCTTAAATGGTGATTGGAAAAAAAATAAGTATTGGTAAATAATTATCTACGCTTTCAAACGCATAGTTAGTTAATAAACAATAATAATAATAATAATAATTTGGGCCAACTTATTAAATAATGCTTGAAAAATTTTTAAATAAATGCCTTCTTTTGCAGTGGTTTTTTTTTTTTTTTGTTTTTATACACCTTAATAAATTTCACATAACATCTTGTTTTTTTTTTTATTATTTTATTTATAATGAGGCTTACGACATAATAATTTGTTTAAACGATAAAACAATAAAAATCGTTAATATGTTTGTTTGTTTGTTTGTTTTTAGAATGAAGGAATCAAAATATTTGTCCTTTTGTACAAAGAAGTTAAACAAGCTCTAGGTCTTGATTCGAATTATAGTAGAAACACTTTGAGAAAACTTCATTCGGAAAACATTAAGGTATGAAACCTTTAAAAAAAAAATTATTAGCCTTCATCTTTAGAATAATTTTTTACTACATTTGCAAAATGAACGGAAGAAACATTGTTTGCGTTACCCTAAACGTAATTTTATTATTTTTTCAGGTATTAAGACATCCCGATCATGCAAAATCTGGAGTATTCCTTTGGGCTCATCACGAGAAAATTGTTTGCATCGATCAAACAATCGCCTTTTTGGGAGGAATGGATTTATGCTACGGTAGATGGGACACGTTCGAACACAGGTATTTGTTATCGTTACGTTATCCTAACTTAATTCCTGGAAAACGCGTGTGAAAAAGGGATTTTTTGTTTAACAGGCTTTCCGATTTCGGTGGAATTCATTGTTCGACGTGTTCTTTTCCAGGATGTTATTTCCCTCCCGAACAACCCAAATGGACGGAGGAAATAGATGTTTTCGAAAAGTAAAAAAAAAATTTTTTATTTTTTATTATAAAAAAAAATGTATTTTGAAATATTGAGCATTGATATCAAATTTGCAGCCTGATGAGTAAGGAAACGACTGTGGAAAGTTTTGATGTTAATCCGGCAAATCTTTCGAAGGAATTCATCGATAGAGAAACTAGTCATACTCAGATACAAACCAGGGAAACGGAATCGAAACAGAAGAAAGAGTCACTTATTAACGGTAATATAAATTTTATAAATAACGAAATGGAAACTCCACGGGAACCGGAAGAGGTTAAGTGCGACACACCGGAATTGGAAAGGAAGACGTTTATGCAAAGGATGAGCGAATGCGTTTCGGGAAATTGTTTCAGTGCTTTTTCAAATGAGGTACCGGCGGAAGAAACGGCGGAAATGATAATGGACGAAGTGGATAGTAAAGAAGTTAACCATAAGGAATTCGAGTAATTTTTTTTTTTTTTTTTTTTTTTTTTGAGGATTCTTCTTCTAATTTTTTATTCATTTTTTAAAAAATATTTAATTTTTATTTCAGACGTAATGATTCCCGTGACGAATTAAATGCTCCTCCCGTCGTCTACTGGATCGGAAAGGATTACACAAATTTTCTTTTGAAAGATTTCTGCGATTTAGATTCTCCCTTTCAAGGTGAGTAAGAAAAACCTGGAAAAGCTATGATTGGATATATCCGCAATTCCTCACTTATAATTTATCTCATTCAAGATTTATTCGATCGAACAAAAACTCCAAGAATGCCTTGGCACGACATCGGAGTCATGGTTCACGGTCATGCCGCACGCGACGTTGCCAGACATTTCATACAACGTTGGAACGCCGTGAAAATAGAAAAAGTTAAAAAGTTGCACTTTTATCCTTACTTAATGCCTAAATCTTACGATCATTTCGATCCACCGCCAAAAGAATTAACGGATCCCCAGTACAAAGTCAAATGTCAGGTTTTAAGATCGGTGAGCGCTTGGTCTGCCGGATTTTTAAATCCCGAAGCCTACGAAGAATCCATTCACAGAGCCTACCTCGAATGTATTATCAAATCTCAGTATTACATATACATAGAAAATCAATTTTTCATTTCTCTCGCGAGGCAAAACGATTTACTTAAAAATCGAATTTGCGAAGAATTGTGCACTAGAATAGTCAAAGCTCACGCGTGAGTGAGAAAATTTCACTTTCACGTATTTTAAAGTTATCAGGGAATTATAATATTAAATGGAATCGTTCGTTGATTTCGCAGGGAGAAAAAAAAATTTCGCGTTTATGTTATCATTCCATTATTGCCGGGATTCGAGGGAGAAATAGGACGTCGGAGCGGTACGTCACTTCACGCGATAACTCATTGGAATTATTCGTCGATATGTCGGGGCTCGTATTCGCTGTTGGAAAAGCTAAAGGAAATGGGAGTGGAAAATCCATCGGATTACATAACATTTCACGGTTTGAGAAAATATTCGGAATTTCACGAAACGTACGTCACGGAATTAATATACGTTCATTCGAAACTCATGATTGTCGATGACAAAATAGTTATTTGCGGTTCGGCAAACATAAACGATAGGAGTTTGTTGGGGAGTAGAGATTCCGAAATTGCCGTCATATTAAAGGTAATTTTAATTCATTCTCTCTTGCATCATCCATCACAGTTTAAGGTATAAAAAAATTAAATTTTTAAGGATGAAGAATTCGTCGAAGGATACATGAATGATGAAAAGGTTCCAGTCGGAAGGTATGCGTCTTCCCTCAGGAAGTATTTATTTGCCGAGCATTTGGGACTTTTGAGTCAGTGTCACAGGCACGATTCAGGAGATAGAATAGGTTATCGAGATCTCGTAGATCCCATATCGGATGATTTTTATACAAAATGGGTGTCACAATCAAATAACAACACAACGTATTTCGAAGAGGTACGCGAAGAAGAACGTACCTGATTATAAATGTTATAAAAATTATACATTTTTTTTTTTTTTTTTTAAATAAATTTTATTTTTAAGGTTTTCAAATGTTTTCCGACGAATAAGGTATCGACGTTTAGAGAATTCAAAGCGTATTGCAAAGAAGAGAAATTAATAGATACGGATTTCGAATCGGCAAAAGAATTAATCGAAAAGATCAAAGGTCATTTGGTTGATTTACCGTTGGAATTTTTAAAAAGTGAAGATTTATCTCCTAAACTCACGGATGGCATGACTGGATTGATGCCTATGACATTATGGACGTAAAAATTATAAATGGATTTTTTTTGTTCGTTTTATTTTTGTGATTAATTTATCGAATTAATATGTTGGTTTATGGTTTTTTTTTTTTTTATGTAAATGTACTTATCGTTTTATTGTTGTTGTAAAAGATTATTTTATTAATCAAAAAAAAAATTTTTTTAACAAAATACATAAATAAATTTTTTTTTTTTAATAGACGTGACGGAAAATTATTTATTTATTAATAATAATAATAATTATAATGAGAAAAATAAATGAAATAAATTGCCAAAATTTTTTTTTTTTTGTCTAAAGGCTTTAATTAATGTTATTTTATTTATGTATATTTATAATTTGTTATTATTTTTTGATGTGTCATTTGTTGGTTTTAATAATATAAAATATTTTTTTTTTTTAAAGTGCCTATTACAAATAAATTTAAATTATTATTATTATTTATAAATACTCATAAATTTTTAATGATATTGTGATTGAATTTTGTTGTAATTTTTTAATAAAAATAATAATAATATTTTTTTAATTGAATTATTTTTTATTTATTTATTAATTAAATTTTTACCGTAAATTTTGACTTTTTTTTTTTTTAAATAGAAAAATCAAATAAGACAATTTTACATCACATATTCAACAATTATGTGATTATATTGAGAAAAAATGGAAAAACTTACCAAAAAAACATATTCAAACACAAATTTTTATGTTGTTGTATAAGTAAGTAATTATTAAACTATTTTAACTAATTAAATAATATAGTTTCACAGAATAATAATATTAAATTGTATTACTTTTTTACATTGAAACACTTCTGAACTAGTTACGCCATTTTTTTTTTTTGTTAAATGAAAAAAACAATAGAATTAGTTATTGACACATTTACCTAATTAAATTGTCGGTTTAATAAATTTTTAAAAATGCTACATTTTCGCGCCAAATTTTTTTTGTCTTTTTACCCGGCAAAAATCCCGGCATAGTTAAAATCTACAAGTTGTGGAAATTATAAACCGGTGGATTTTATTTTATTATAATTAAAAGAGGTAGATAATAAAGTTTTAAAAGTTAACATTTAATAAATAAAATTATAATATTTTAATAAGTGCGGATGGGTTTATTTTAAAAAAAAAAAAAAAAAACGTTGTGAATTGAACTTGTTGAGTTGGCGACAAATTCATTTGCATTTTTTGTAGTTGAGGTTTAATCAATGACGCGTCTGTCTTTGGTTTTCAGTTGCGGTATTATTAAATTTATTTTTTAAGATTTTTTAACGTTTAATCGATCGTATTTTGTTATTTAACCAAAGGTAAAGTTTATTTATTATAAGATTCGATTAAATTTTTTATATTTTAAATAATTGCAATATGAAAATGGTTCAAATAATGTGTTTAAAAATGATTCACTGGAGTGTTCATTGACACTTTTTCCTTTTTTCCTTACTGAGAATTATTAATTCGTTTTGTTTATTATATAAAATTAAAATGTAATTTGTCTAATTCGATTAAGAGTATTTTTTTATGCATTTCATTTGAATGCATAGTAAATTGTTTGAATAAATGGTGCAATGTAATTTGGTAACGCGGTCGCCATTTTGAAATTGATTTTTAATTTTCTAATTCTTTTCACACGCTTTTAAATTTAATTTTTTTCCTTGTAATAACGGTTTTTTTTAAAATTGGTATTTCAGGTTGAAAATGGGAGATCGCGACGGTTATCAAAGAGGGACTCGCGTTTATGTCGGTGGTTTATCACAAGGAACAAAAAAAGAAGATTTGGAATCGGAATTTGAAAAATTTGGAAAATTAAACAATGTTTGGGTTGCTTTCAATCCCCCAGGATTTGCATTTATTGAATTTTCAAATAAAACAGATGCTGAAAACGCTTGCGATAGTATGAATGGTACAGAACTTTTAGGGGGAAAACTTCGAGTCGAATTGTCACGCAGTCGCGGAAGAGGAGGTTTCCGCGGAAACGGCGGAGGTAGTCGCGGTCGGGGAGGTTCGCGTGGTGGCAATGGTATGCCACCCATGGGTTTTGGGGGTAGAGGAAGAGGAGGATTTCGTTCTGGTGGTGGTGGTGGTGGTGGTGGACGAGGCGGTGGACCGAGACGCGGGGGATTCGGTAGAGGAAGAGATTTCGGTAGAAGTGGGGGCCGGGATAATTACGGTGGTGGTGGCGGCGGCGGTGGCGGTGTCAATTACGGTAGCGGCAACGGAAATTACGGTGCCGGCCGCAGTAATTATAATGGCGGTGATGGATCCTCATCAAGGTTTCGAAGTCGTTCACCTATTAGTGCCGGGGGCGGTGGGAGTAGGCGATATTAAATTTTGACGGTTTTTTTTTTATTAAAAAAAAACATGATGAACAGTAATTCTACATGTGTTTATATATATAATTTTTCTACTTTTTGTATTTCTTTAACTTCTTATATTTTACAAAAAAAAAAAAAAAACTGTGATAACGAAAAGTTAGTGATTCAAAGGCATCAGGAACTTATGGATATTAGTAAGTCGTTAAGTAGATTTTACCCATTCAAAAAATTCTATTTTTTATAAGTAGAATTACTAACTGATAGTCAATATTTTTATAGCGACATTTTTTTTTTTGTTAATGAAAAAAGTCTCCGATAGTTAAGTCGAGAAAAAAAAGAAACATATCAACTTATCATAGCATTTATTTATTATTATTATTATTTACATAATTTAATTGAAAACATTTTTTTAAAATTGTTTTGTCATACTGAGAATGCAAATAATTTTTTTTTTTTGTTTTGTAATGAATCTTCGAATTTCAGACCGAACAGAAGAATCGAGAAAAAAAATAAAAAATAAAAAGTAATTCATCTTAATGGAAATCGACGTTTGAATTCTTTCAACTTTCTTCGTAGCTCATGGATAATTTATTAATAAATAATAAATAATAATAATAATTATAAGTTAATCATAATCGACGGAAATAAATTTCAAATTCAAGAACTAACTTAATTAGAAAAAATAAATCAGGTACTTCGAATAATAATAATAATAATATTTAATTGAATAATTCTGTTTATCGAATATACAATCACACACACACATAAAATTTATAATTATTTTTAGTTTTTTTTTTGTGTTTTTTCATTTTTTAATTGCATGATGTGAAATAAATAAGAATTCAATAGGGAAAATTAAAAACAAGCTATCATCATCATCATTATTTTCATTTATTAATAAGGTAAAGGGTTTTCGATTACAAATCTTACAAAAACTATTCGATATAAGAAATGCTCAACTTATTATTATTATTGTTTATCAATTAATTTTTGTGTTATTATTATTATTATTAATACAAGTTTAAGGTGATTTATTTATTTATTTATTAGATTAAAAGTTGAGCTTTCTTCTCTATTATTTTTCTTTCGGTTTTTCATCATTTTCATTTTCATTCGCTTCGAATATGAAACAAACAATTAAAAAATGATGATGATAATAATAATTTATTATTTATTTAAACTAATTGTTATAATTTAATGCAGTGTGTGTGTTTAGTTTTTTTTTTTTTTTTTTTTTTTTGATTTTTTGTTTTCAATTTTGAAAATTTTTTAAATTTCTAAAATGCTTCCAGTATGACAAAACGAACGACGTTCTGCGGTTCCGCAATTGACTCCGCGCCGCCTGCGAGAAAATCTCACTACGCCTATTATTATTTCAGAGGCGGATCTACGAAAATGACATACTCACATAATTCTTTTTAAATAAAAAAATATTTTTTATTAAATTATGCTATTAATATATATATATAAAAAAACTACCGCCACCATCCGACAAAATCTACACATTATGCGTTGGCAATTCAAAAAAAAAAAATAAACAATACACACATGCGTAAATATATATATATATACTCTACAAATATGTATTATAATGTGAGTTTCAAAAGAGAGAGAGAGAGAGAGAGAGATGGGAAAATCAATAAGAGAGAGTAAGACATTTTCTTTTGTTGTAAGGTACACTTCCATAAAACCTTACAGGGGGGAAAGACATAAAAGGAAAAATTCTTACTTTCTTTACTACAGCACAATCGATACAAAGGTTGAATTGTTGTTGTTATTATTATTATTATTATTATTATCATCAATACGAATTCAAATGACGAAGGCGACGATGATGATAATGATGATAATTTCAATTGATTAAGATGAATTTTACGGTTTTTTTTTAGTAGTAGGAGTAGTGGTAGTAGTAGTTGGGAAAAATAAATTTTCCGACAGGTTTAATATTCATAACGTAGTAATAATAATAATAATAATAATAATAATTGTCAATTAAAATTCTGTTTTTATAAAGTCACCCTCCCCTTGCCCCTCATTCCCCTCCCTAAATTTCTATCGTTTGTTGGAAACGTTTTTTTTTTTTTGTGTTTGTTTTTCCTCGTATTGTATTGTATTATGTCCCCCCTCTCGATAAAATGTCGGGGAGAAGGGGGGGGGGCATGATTTTAATTAGTTAAAAAGTAGTAAATTCTTTTTACAAAGTGTGACGTTGCTTACATAAATACATAAATAAATAAATAAATAGAATTAATAGGAGAAAGGAAAAAAAATTAAATTGAAAAACGCAACAAAACTTTTTTTTTTTTTTAGTGAAAAAGTTTTTTTTAAAAGAAAATAACAAACGTTTGTTGTTGTTGTTACTATTATTATTATTATTACACGCATCACAGTTTTTTTTTTAATTAATTAATTAATTTAATAATAATAATAAAGTTTTCTTTGTTGGCTGCAAAATTATATAACTCGCGACTAATGAGGTTAAAAAAAGATTTTTTTTTTTTTGAGGGGGGTGGAGGGGAGGGGAGGAGGGGGTTCAAAGTGTTTGTTTTTTTGTTTGTTTTGAATTTAACAGTGATTTTCGACTAGTTTATTAAAACTATGCATTTATCCTGTGGGGGTTCACAGCAACTTTTCATCAAAAGTAAGTAAAAACAACAACAAGGAAATTGTGTTGTAACTAATAATAAAATTAATTTTTTTTTTTTTTATTAATTTTTATTATTATTATTATTATTTATTAAATTTCATTTGTAATGTTTTATTATTATTATTAATTTTTTTTACTATTATTATTTTATTTAAATAAATTTTGTAAGAAATTTACTTGAAAATTTATTCTTTTTTAAAATTTAAATACCCTTTATTGAATTTTTTTTTTTTTTAAAAGATGATTCGGGTGATTTATTTAACATTAATTCGATAATTCATTTTATAATATGCGAACGTAAGTTTTGCAGGATTTAATTGAATTTTATGATTTTTCCTTAAGGAAGTAAGGAAGGAAGGAAGGATTATTAAAAAAAAAAAAAACAATTTTTTAATTAAAATAAAATTTATTTAATTAACGTATTTTTTTGGCAATAAGCTTAATTGGAAAATAAATATTTAAAATAAACAGACTTGTTGTTTTCACCCGTTATAATAATACATACACAAATTTTTTCGTTTTGTTTTTTAAATGCAATTTATAATAAAAAAAAATTTAAAATGTTTAATTACATAAAATTATTTATAAAATAAAAAAGAAAATTTTCAATTCAATGAAAACTAATAATCGTTGTAGAAAAAAACAATAATAATAATAATAAAATAAAAACAAAGACACGTGGATAAAATGGGGGAAATTTTTATAAATTGCTTGTAACTGTGTTTTCTTCCGGATTTTCCAGTCGTGTTTTCATCCAAACTTTACTTGCTTCCCTAAAATGATAGGAAAAAAAAGATTAATTAATTCGAATCGATGAGAAGAAGATAATGTAGAAGATGAAGACAACCGTACCTAAATGAATTTTCTTTCAGGTTATTGCACGATCTCCATAAGATTAAAGCTAATATAATAGACCACGTGCGAAGGGGTCCTAAAAAAAATGCTAGCGTTCCATACGCCAAAAGGAAAAAATAGGCACATATAACTTGTATTGAAACAACAATGGCGAAGGGTAAATGACGGAAAAAAAAATCTAATTTCGAAGTTCTTTCAACCGTTTGAAAATGTCGGAACCTGAAATATAATAACAAAAATAAATTTTTATCGAGTGTATGAGGATTTTTAAGAGGTTTGATGGATCCCCCCCACCCCCACCCACACCCACACTCACCGTCTATCGATAGCTTTCGCTAAAACTACTGTTAATGGTAATTGAAATGTACACATTTGCATGAAACCATAGGCGTAAGTAAATGATCCGGGAAGGTAGGAATTATTAACGAGTAAACCCCATGCGAAAACTGCACCGATGTGACCATCAATCACTTCTCCAATAGTCCAAGGCCCTAAAAAAACAAAATGTTTTCCCTTTCTTCAAATTGTATTTAAAGAAGTTTTGGAGTGAAAAATTAAATAATCTTCGACTTACCAACCGAAAGGTAGAGTGGATACGTAACCAAAGGATAAAAAATTTTATCAACAGTTGATAAAATCCAAAAACTACGAATCCATTTTCTTAAAACTCTATTTTTAATTTGTGGTTTTTTCATTTTTTTTTTCTTTACTAAAACGTGTGCCACTTTAAATATGCATAGGGGTACGGTTGAAAAACAAAGTGACATTCCAAAAAGAGACTGAAACTATTAAGAAAAAAAAAGTTTTTTTTTTATCCATCTTGAAACAAGTTTCATTTATTAGTAATTCTTGTGGTAAAACTTACGACGGTACTGATATTAGTCATAAGTACTAAACGCGGCCAAAATTTAAAACTAAATGTTGTTTCATCAATGGAAAATGGTTGAGTTATACCGCGTTCTCTTCCTTCTCTGTCTCTCGATCGAACGTTTATGCTATGAATTCCGGTTCCGTATTTTTCAGGTTGCCAAGGTACGATGTAAAGAGGTCCTTTGACGTTACTTGCATTTTTCCAATCGTCGTCATTTATTTGAATTTGTACCAAATCGATGGGAGCGATGGAAAAAACCAAAACTCTGAAATGTAAAATGAATAATGTCGTTAACATGTTTTTTTTTTTTTTTTTTTTTTGCAATATAGAACAAAACAAAATGTCGTCTTGCCTTATGTGGGAAGAACGAAGAAACGAAAGTTTAGATTCTTTAAAAGGAACCAAATACAAAGAATGTTTAGGATTTGTTATAAGCATGATTGGCCATTCTCCATGATAAACATCAACAAATGAAAAGAATCCATTATCGAATGCTGCTAATCTATAACTAAATAATTTTCCAATTTGTTAAATTCCCGAAGACTAATAATGAAATAATTAAAGGATTAAATAAAATTACATTCTATTATCTTTCCAATCTCCCAATTCAAGTTCTAAATATCCACTTTTTTGCAATGTGTACATATTTGGCACAAGACCTCCCAACATATGAAAATGTCCACATAAATAAGTCCAACAACCAGGAGCTTCGATTATAATATTTCTAACTGATTTTTGGCCTTCTGTTATTATGCACGAAGTCGGATAATGTCCGAAAACTACAGTGTATTGTACTCCTATTATTTTTTAACAAATTAAAAAATTATCTATAAACATACATAATTCATTTTTAATAAATTTATGTAAGAAAAAATAATTTAATACTTTTTCTTTTGGCTTCTGAAATCAAATGTCTTATGTGTTGGATTTCAGTTTTATTTAAAACACCGACAAAATTAAATGGTCTTTTAGGTCCAGGAGATAAACAAGCATCAATTCCCAAAAATCCATACATGTCACCATTTATAAAGGATGTGTATAAATAAGAGTGAGGATGTTTTCTGCCTTGTATTGTGTAATTTCTATAATAATTCAATTTCGAATCCGGAGTAGGTATATTGAAATTATCTGGAATGAAATTACATGATGAATAAATTTTTAAAAGTTTTCTTGCATGGATAAAATTTTTTTACTTACCATGATTACCCCTTATATCTAACCAAACTGTTTTATTAACAACTTCAGATTCTAAAAGAATGTTTTTATATATTTCCCACTCTTCAATTTGTTGTGCAGAACCCATATTGTCAGCCGTTTTGGCATCCGTTAAATCTCCGGTTGCTAAAACCAATGATGGATTAATAGATGGTACAGTTCTTTCGCAGAATTCTTGAAATTCTGTAATTCTAGAAGAATCATGAAATATGCTGACATGAATATCTGATATCTGAAACAAATTATTAATGAATAAAAAAATTTAAAAAAAAAAAAAAAAATCAATAATCAAATTAACTTTTTTTTTCATTAAATAAAAATAAATGAATTTATTCATTAAGATTTTTGTATTTAATTCCAATTAAATTGACGTTTCCTATTTTTTTTTTTTCAATTTAATTTAATAAATAAAAAAATATAAAGTAAAAAATAAAATTATTAATAATACTTGACATGATACATTTGAATTCAGATTAAAGATTTAAAGAAAATGAGTTATATAATTCAAAAAAAAAAAAAACGAATACACACCTGTAGAAACCACATTAAATGTTTGAAATGGTTATTTTCAATCACCTGTTCTTCATTATCTGGGCTGTCAATATCAAAATGAGATTTATATTTTTCAATTGTAATATCTTTGTTATAATCATCATCATTAACTATTGTATTTTCCACTTGTATTGCAATCAAATTAGATAAATTGGCAAAAAAAACTGAAAATATCAATACGACAATAACAAGTATAATGGTTGAAAAATTTAATTTCATCGCCGGATAAAAAAAAAAAATAAATTAAAAATTTATTTTCATAATGACATTTCCTTTTAAACTGAAAGCCATTTTGATTTGACGAATATCATGACATTTATGAGCGCAATGTCAGTTGGCGAATAACGGAAACTCAATTATTTGCATTTTGGCGACAAAAATATTTCCTTTTTTTTTTTTTATTACATGACCATTTTAAAAAAAAAAAAAAAAAGTAAAATAAAATTCATTTCGAAAATGAAAATTGTTATTCAAAGAGTAACGCATTCTTCCGTAAAAGGTAATTTGATTTTAATTATCCCGTAAACCCAATTTTTATTTATTTACCCTTTAATTTGTTTTTTTTTTTTTTGCCATTCAAATATGGAGGAGTAATTTTTCAAAAAATAATTTTTTTTTTTTTTTTTTTTGGCAGTAAACGATGAAATAATAAGTTCCATCGGGAGAGGTTTATTAGTTTTAATTGGAATAGGTAGAGAAGACACTCAAGAAGACGTGAATTATGCGTTGGTAAATTTTTTACATAAAAAAAAAAAAAAAACCATTTTTATTAATATTTTTTTTAGTCACAATGTCACACGCTTTATTTTTCAGAGTAAAAAAAATATTAAATGTAAAATTTTTCGATAATGAAGATGGTAAAAAATGGAGTAAAAGCGTTATGGATAAACAATATGAAGTTATGTGTGTAAGTCAATTCACTCTATGTAATAGTTTAAAAGGAAACAAATTAGATTTTCATCACGCTATGAAACCTGATGAATCTCAAAAATTCTATGAACATATATTGGAAAGACTTAAATGTCAATATGATCCTGATAAAATAAAAGAAGGAATGTTTGGAGCACTCATGCAAGTTGAACTTTGTAATGATGGTCCAGTCACTATATCTTTATCATCGAACAAAGGTGAAAAAGAGAAAAATGTCGAATCAACAGAGAGTTAGTTAGCTTATGTAATTTTAAATATTTTGTCTCATTAACATGTGATATTTTACTATTACAAATACTTTAAACAATCATTGAGCAAATTTTGTACAATTTTGTCTTGCAAATAAATGCTCGATTAAATTTTTATCAATCAATAAGCTTTTTTATTGCCCAATAATAATAATAAAATTATCAATTTGAAAAAATATTTTTTTTTTAAAGTAAATGAATTTAATTACCTGCAACAGCTAATCACTCTAATACCTTAATTAATTAATTTTTTCTTTAAAAAACAGCATTTTCTCTTAAAAAAACAAAAACCTCTTATCATCATCTTATTTCCGTTTGAAATGAATTAAAACTAAAATTTCTTATCAATGATTTCATGATTCCAATTAATAATTATTTTTTTATTTATAACAAACTTCGTTTTATATACATTTCCGACGTTTGACTTTTTGCAACGCTTTAAAGTACTCAATATTGCATAATCAGCAAAATGCAGGCGGTTTTATGAACTTTTGATAAATCATATTAAATAACCGTGAAAATATTAAGTATTCCAACCATTTATTAATTAAAAATTAATTAATTAATTCTTTGGTTTAAATAAACAACAATAAAATCTTTTTTTTTTTAAACATTTTTTTATTATTTATTTTTAAATATAAATTATTTTATTTATTTTAATACCGTATAAAAAAAAAAAAAAAAAAATTCTTGCTTTTCACAAGTTTACATGAACAACAATAAGAAAAGAAAAGAATAGAAAAAAAAAAAAAAAATTCTAATACACAAAATAATAATAAAAACTATGAAAAAATGGAAATGATGATATTAATAATAATAATAATAATAATAGTAAAACCCAAGAGATTTAAAATATCTTAAAATTAAATCATCTCTTTTTATTAATTACAATTAATTTCATATATATATATAAATATTTAGAATCGTATCGTTTTTTTTTTTGATATTATTATTTTTTTAATATATGTAAAAAAGATTTACTTAATAATAATAATAATAATAAATTTCGTTTAAATTTTTATACTAAAAAAAAGAAGCAAAAAAAAAAAAAATATTTTGAGCGAAAAAAAATTTTTTTTTTTAAAATCACAAAAGCAGCAAATTTCAAACATTATTATTATTATTATTACATAAATTTTGTTATTTCAACACAATTCACGTTATTTAATTAATTAATAAAAAAAGAAGCTATTTAATAATTCACATCTATTTTTTTAATAATAATAATAATAATTAATAATTGATAAAATCAAAATAAAAGGCTTTTTATTTATTTATTTCTCTTATCAATAACAACTTATTAATAATTTCTCACGCACGCGTTATCAATTTTTTTTTTTTTTTTTTCAATTAAGTAAAAACTAACTAATTATTTAATTTTTATTAATTAATATAAAAATGCAAATATATTATTAATAATAATGATAATAAATTTTTTTTTTCATTTATTTATTTTTTTATCAATATTATCATTTGCTCTTCTTCAACTTCTTCTTTCACCTTTTTCTTAAATTATTTATTTATTTATTTAAAAAAAATTGATTATTATGTAAAGAATAAAATAAAATAAAATAAACTATGTATATATATATATATTCATTTATTAATTAATTAATTTATTTATTTATTAAATTCTACATGACTAATTTTTATATCGAAAAAAAAAAATAAGAACAAACAAAAATTTTATTATTATTATTATTATTTTCTCAATTTATTTATTTATGTATATGTATATATGTATAATTATTAATTATGTATGTCGTTGGAATGCAAACGGTTACTTAAATTTAAAAAAATGGAAATCGAATTAAAATAATTGGAAAATTCATTTTTTGTTTAAATAAATGCAAATTGTATATATCTCCTCTCTCTTTCTATCTATCTATCTATCTCTCTTTTACAAATCCTTAAATAGTATTAATAATAATAATAATATTAATTATTAAAAATCGATTATTTAAATTTTACAAAATTATTTATTTATTAAAAAATTTTTTTTTTTTTTTTGTTTATAAAATGCAAAAAAAACACGAGCACAAATTTTTTTTATTTATTTATTTTATTTATTTAATTATTAAAAAAAAGTCTTATTATTATTATTATTATTATTATTATTATTATTATCGATAAAAATCAATCGTGTGCGTATCAATGATGAGTATAAAAAAAAAAAAAAAATTTACATAAATATTTATATTTATATATATGTATATATTTAAATAAATAAAATGTAAATTTTTTTAACTAATACATAAAAAATAAAACCGAAAAAAAAATTTTTTTTTTTTTACTTTTTATTATCATCATTATCATTATCATTATCATCATTATTACTACTCATACAACTCCTACAACTATTATCATTATTATTATTAATTTTTTTTTTTTTTTTTTAGAAATTCATTCTACGAAAACATTTTCCAAAACGCTTTTTAATTTTAATCAACGAAAAAAAAAATTTTTTTTTAAATAAAATAAAATAAAATAATAATAATAATAATAATTAAACAACGCACTCGCACGCACACGCACTCACGCACTTAAACACACGCACAATCATTCGATTTATTATGTAATATGATTTGATGTTAATTTGATAAAAAATAAAAAGAAAAGTTTCGATTGGAGAAAATGATTTTCTTTTTTTTTGTTTTTCTCACGTTCAATTAATTAAAATCATTATTATTATTATTATTATTATTATTATTTTTTTTTTTTTTCAATGGGGTTTTAAACTTACTACATAAATCGATGCGGCAAATAATATATTAATAATAATAATAATAATAAATTGTGTAAAAGTAATCGCGATCGTTTCAAACGGAGAGAAACAAAAAATAATAATAATAAGGAGGAAACGTTTTTCATTTTTCATTTTTTTTTTTTTTTTTTAATTATAATTACTCACAACCTCTAACCCAATAATAATAATAATAATAATAATAATTACGTAAAAAAAAACTCCGAAATAATAATAATAATAATAGTAAAAACGTTCGCCCCATCATATATACCGTAATAATCATCATCTATATTTTAAAATCATTTTTTTTTTTTTTATAAATTATTATTATTATTTAATCCTCCCCCCTTACCTCCCCTCACTTCTAATTAAATACACAAAAATTCCATAGAATGTGAAGAAAAAAAAAATTTACTCGATTGATTGATTGATTGATCACGATCAGATTCTCACTCATTTTTTTTTTTTTTTCTTTTTTAAAAGATTTAATAAGAAACAAATAGAAAATTATCATTATTATCATCATCATCATCATCATTATTATCGTTGTAACCGTGTGAAAATTTAAAAAAAATTTAAATGGCGATTTATGTATATAAATATATTATTAAAAATTATGTATAAAATTTATACTCTAAAAAGTTTTTATATAAAAAAAGAAAAAAAAATTATTGGAAGGTTTTATATCATTGGTCCATCATCATCATTATCATCATTATTATTATTAATTTTTTTTTCGAGAAAATTCGGAATGATTTGTTTGTTTATAATTATTAAAAAAAAATTTTAAAATTCGATCAATCACCAATTTCCTTATTTAAAAAAAAAAAAACTACCTTTCTTATCATTATTATTATCACACGCACACTCACACACTTACGCACACACATATATAAATAATAATGATAATATATATATATATAAACGAAATATAAATTAATAACTTCATAATATATTTAATAATAATAATAATAATAGTAAGAGAAAAGAAAAAAAAAAAAAGATAATAATAATAATAATCATAGTTATATAGATATTCTTATTAAATTATCATCATCATTATCATTATCATTATTATTATTATTATTGATTTAATAAATATACATACTTAAAAATAAATTGGGGGAGACACAAAATATATATATATATAAGAAAAAAAAAATTATTATTATTATTATTATTATATCAGAATAGAATTTTTTTTCTTTAAAAAAAAAAAAAAAAAAAAGGTTTGTTTGTTTTCCTGTGGGTGTGTGTTTTGTGTTTGTTTCCGTTTGTTTGTTTGTTTGTTTATTTGAGTTTCCATTTATGAAAACAACAACATTGATTGTGAATCCGAGACAAACACACGAGATGAGCGTTTTCGATGATATTTTTTTTTTTAAATAGAAATTATTATTATTATTTAAATCCTTTTCTTCTATTCTTTTACTTCCGTTTCGGCGGGTGGTGGCGGGGGTGGAATTTCTTTTTCCGATGGTGGTGGCGACACTTCCAAACTGTCCAATTGTTGTTCTTCGGCTCCTCCTTGGTTCGTACCTTCGGTTGTCATTCCCTCTTCGGTCATATCTTTCGGTACGTCGGCTAAACTTTCTCCGGCCCCCGTTTCTTCTACCTGAAACACACACCACACGCACGTTCACGTACACGCATGAAATACATTTTCTTCTGTTATGACGTCATACATATACAACCGGTAATGGTGGTGTCCGTTGGTCACCGTTTTCGTCACCGTTTTTCGACACTTCGAAAAAAATCTATCGAATCATTTTTTTCCGCGTAAAAGTGAATAAATAAATTTATTAAAAAGAGAGAGAGGGGAGAGAGCGAGAGAGAGAGAGAAAATTCAAATTAAATTAACGAACGTTCCTGAACGTATTACGTCATCGTCATCGCGTGTATTAAAAACGTTTTTCGGCCATGTTTACGAAAAGTCTTTTACACACGTTCGAAAACAACGATTGTTGCGAAAACAAACGGATCGAACAAAGGAGACAAACATCATCAGCATTATTTGCGACTTAAAGAAATTTGTTTGTTTGTTTGTATTAATTTGAAACGATTTTTGTGCGCGTAAACAACAACAACAACAACAACTTATTTTGATAAGTTTCGTTTGTCATTACCTGTCTTCTCTCTCTCTCTCTCTCTCTCTCTTACAAAATTGCGTAATTTTACATTGTTTACGGCACGTACGCATCGAAATGATAATGATAATGATGATAATGATGACAATAATTGACAAAGTATTAAATTGTTATTTGGAAATGTCTTGTTAAATTTTCCACCGAATACAATAGTAATAATAATAATAAAATTCTCATTTTCTGTTATCATTCAGGTATAATTTTTTTGTTTTTTTTTCAGGTACAAAAACCAACGTACTTGTTTTAATAAGGTTCTTATCACGGAAATCAAAATAAATATTTATTTGAATTTTCACACGCGTCGATTTCACATTGCTATGTCAATGGATGCCACAAAAATGGCTGCCGTGAAAAAGGCACAAAAAAAACCGTATCATCATCATCATCATCATTATTATTTTCGAATCCTCTTGATCTCTTTCGGTAATAAAAATTACGTTTGTTCGACTGAGACTTTTTTTTTTAATGCTTCCACCATTATTATTATTATTATTATTATTATTAATTTTAATGGGTGATAAAAAAAAAAAAAATTTTTTTTTATGCTTTGGTAATAAATAGAAAATCCGAGGGGAGGAGGGGAAGGGGGCGAGGGCGCGGCGGTAATGACGAGTATTTATAAAAATCGATAAATGTATATATATATATATGTTACCAACGTTAAAAAAAAAAAAATTATACTTACCTTATCAAGAGTAATTAAATATATATATAGGCCTCCACCAACCACCAAAGACAGTGTACCCAACATAAAAAATTTAACATGCAAAAAAAAAAAAAAATCGTGCATGCATGCATGCGTCGAGACTGCCGAAGTTTAACGATAATAATAATTTATTATTATTATTATTGTTTTAAGGTTCTGAAGGTTCTTTTTAGAAACAATTTTTTTTTTAAATTAAATTTATCGAAAACAAATAGAAATGATGACGTCAGCGTGACAGCGATTGGGTAATTAAATCGAAACAACAAAATTGTAAGAAAATAAATAAAATTTCTTTCTCTATCTCTATCTCTTTCTTTCTTTCTTTCTTTCTTTCTCTCTCTCTCTCTCTCTCTCTCTCTCTCTCTCTCTCGGAAAAGTTTTGTTTGTATTATTGAAAATATGACCTAAGGGTAATTTTGTGTGATAAGGAAAAATATTTTTTCTTTTGTCTTTTATCATCATTATCTTGGATTAAAAGAAATAATTTAATGTAAGTGCCTAAGTCTTGCATTTTCCATATCCGGAAAATTCAAACAGAAAGAAAGAAAATTCGTACCTGAAAATGTTAAAAATAGAAAGAAAGAGATGCCAGGTAGATGTCGAAGAATAAAACTATCGAATTTCAAGAAGCCTAAAATGATTCGTGTAACCTCGAAGAACCCCCCCTCTCGCTATCTTGTTCGTTTTTTTTTTTTTTTTTCGATAGTTGGTTGCCTGCTTTTATATATATGGTGAAAAATTTATCTACTAAAACCAATAATTTAAACCGTGACGAAAATTAAAAATTAATATTTGTATTTTTCTTTTTTTTTTCTCTCTTTTTTTTTGGGGGGGTTAAAAAAAAAAAAAAAAAAAAAAATTACACATTGTAAATGTCTTGGGAGTTTTTCTTCTTCTTCGTCTCGACACATGTCATGTCGACATTAAGATTTTCATTTACCACGTTTACCTTTTCCGACGTTTCTTCTGCCACGTCCGCAATTACCATTTTGGACGTTAAATCCGTTTCTAAATTGTCTATTGGAAAACTTTCGGTTGGTTGTTGTTGTTGTGTTGGTTGTTCTTCTTGTTCTTGTTGTTCTTTCGTGGTGGATTCTTCCACTTTCTTTTCTTCTTTATCTGTTTCATTATCTTTTTCTTTCTCTCCAACGTTTTCTTCTTGTTTTTCCCCGACGTCGTCTTTCAATGTCGTTTCGACCATGTCAATAACGTCGTTTATTTTTTCCGTTATCAACGCTCCAGCCGTTTTCATGCTTTCCTCCGCTCTTTTTTCAACCGTTTTGAGTATGTCCGTTGCTTTTTCTTCGATTTGTTTCCCCGTTTCGGCGGCGATTTGTTCGGCATCTTTGAGTACAGCTTCGGCCGTTTCCAATTTTTCACTTAAAGTATTTGAAATTGAAGATGTTACCTCCTCCAATTTTCCAGTCACGTTCTCGACGAGTCCTCCGACTCCGCTCCCCGTCAATTTATCGGATTTGTCTTGTCCGGGAACGTCGACCGGTTCGCTCGGAGGTGGAGAAGCGGGTAGGGGAGGTGGTAAATCATCGGCTGAGTCTTTTATGGCGGTAGACGTGTCAGACGTCTCCGTCGAGGGTTGTTCTATTTCGGAAGTGGATTGTTCTTTTGCCACGTTTCCGATGCTCACGTCGGATATTTTGCCTTCCACTGAATTTTCCGCCACGGCAACTTCCCCGACTTCTTCTACGAATGTAGTTTTGGACAAATCATCTTTTGCTGTCCCACCGTTTGTTTCATCCTGAATAAAAATAAATTAAATTAAAATAAATTTTTAAATGGCAAAATAAAAAAAAAAAAAAGTGATGGAAGAATCCATGGAATCCGATGGAATTCCAGCATATTTATTCCAGCATAGCTACCGGATAAGGTAACCAACTAAGATATAACAAAAAAGTGAATCATTATTATTAAAAAGAAAATAATTTTTTTTGCGAAAACATGACTAATAATATTAATAATAATTATGCGAATAATAATAACTAGTTTTCGGCATAATAATAATAATAATAATAATAATAAATTCATTCATTCATTTCAAGGATTTTTCTTCTTATTCAACCGACTAATTTAATTAACACTAATTAAAATCAAGTCAGTCATATTGAAAAGCAAAAGAAATAAAAAATAAATAAATAAATAAATAAAAAAACAAAATCAATGAAAACCATCGCCCGCGTGTACACGAATCGTAGAAAAAAATAAGTATATCCGGTTTAAAAACAAAAACCGGAAACTCGGCGTACGATTCGTTAGGAATATTAAAAAATTTTTTATGTAGTTTTTGCAAAAGTGTGGCATTCGTCCAAATGAATGATGTTATTTATGATGAGAGAGGGAAGGGGAAAGTGGAAGAAGAAATCAAAAAAATAACTTTTGCCCCGTTACACAATTTTTTTGGGGGGCCAAAGTAAATAATAACGAAATCGTATGTGTTGTCAATTTTTTTTTTTTTTTTACCTGTTTTTTACAGTTCAACATCCTCTTTAACAAAAGTAAAAAAAGATCATCAGGTATATTTTAAACGTGTCAGAATATTTTTTCGTGGCAAGAGAGTGAAAGAGTGAGAGAGGGAGAGAAAATTTAATACGACCAACTCTGCATATACGACCGAGAGTCTACTTCCACTTAATGAGAGTATATACATAATCTGGGTTGATAAACGTGTCACTAATTAATTACCGTTATTTTTTTTTTTATAGGGTGGTTCTTTCTAAAATATATAAATAAATAGCCACTAAAATAAATTATTAAACGTTTCTTTCTCTCTCTCTCTCTCTCTCTCTCTCTCTTTTAATATAATTTCTTTGACGTGTAATTTAAAAAAGAAAAAAAGAAAAAACCGTTACAAATAACGACGATATTTATCGATTAGCATGTAATTCGTAAATTTTTTTTTTTTTTTATTACGCTTTAATACACGCTTCCGTTCTTTATAATTTTATATAACATTAAAAAAAATAACTATCATTATTATTACTATTATTATTATTTTTTTTTTAGTAGGTTTCCTGTTTTTTTATTGCGGTTTTTATTTAAAAAACCGTCCCGATTACACTGAAACGGGATTCGTTAACAATCCTCGTGTTTATTACGACACAAGAGAGTGAGAGAGAGAAAGAGAGAGAGAAGGGAGAGGGAAAGAGAGAGAAAGAAAACCACAAAGATGGAGGAGGAATGAAAAGAAAAACGCGTGACAAAAATTTACGTAATCGTAAAATATGCTTATGCGATTTTGTTTTTTATAGGTTTACAACCCTGCTTCAACCGGTCTATATTAATCAACAATAAATAAATAAAAAAAAATGTTGCCAACTTAATTTTTTTAAGATAAAAATAATATAATGTAAATATAATAATAATAATAATAATATACGTATAAAGTTTTTTATTTACTTTTTTTTTTTTTTGAAAACTTGAATCGACGCAAAATTTTTTCAAATTTTTTTTTTTTTTGCTATTGTTAAATCGATATAATCACATCCGGTTTTTCCTTTCTTTAAATTTTTTTTTTTTTCCCCCTCCTCGTTTATTTAATTTTTCTCGTCCGAAAGATTTTCAGACAAATCTTTTACCCCTTCTAAATTTTTCATGACAGTTTCTTGTAATTTTTTCAACATGTCGACATTTTTCCCGTCTGTCGCGGATGTTGTCGAATTGTCGTTCAATGCACCTTTTACTTTCTCCATCAAGTCTTTCACCTTCGACGTCGTTTCCTCTGCAATTTCTTTAATTACGTTCGTTTCCGTTGACTCGAGGAGTTTGTCGGTGGACACCTGTCCAAGTACCGCATTCAATTCCGTTACTTTATTCGCAACCTTTTCTTTCATTTCTTCAATTTTTTCCCGTAGAGCTTCTTCCGCCGATTTTTCTACCTTCTCAGTAGAATTTTCCGCCAAAGTTTCACCGTCGACTGTGGCGGCGTTTACAATGTCGCTCACGATGCATTGAACGTTTTCTAAATTTTCCTTGACGACGTTTTCGAGTGCCTGAGTTTTTTCCGCAACTATTTCTTTCATTTTTTCCGTTACCAAATTTATTTTTTCCTCCCCGTTCGCAGCAGCGTCACTCATTGACTTATCGGAAACTCCGACGTCTTCAACCGATTTTTCAGTCTCGACAATTTTCTCCGACACCGTTGGATCGCTACCGTTTTCATCAATTTGATTTGGACTTGATTTTATGACGTCATCTATTTTTTCGCTAATGAGATCGTTAATAATTGACTTGGCCGTAACATCTTTTTCCGATTCGATGCCATTTTTATTTTTATCTTCGGAATTTTGAGTGCCTTCTATGACGTCATTTTTTTTCGATTCTAAATTTTTGGAATCTGCAACTTCTGGTACAGCATCGGATACTTTGTTTGCACTTTCATCAAGCTTTTCAGTGCTCTCTGCTTTAATGACGTCATTTTTGCTATCGTCAGACTTTTCAACAACTTCGGTTTTTTCTTCTCCCGATTTCTGAACATTTTCTACGTTAGATTCCTTTTCTTTACCGATCGCCATTTCTTTCGTGCTGGCGGCTATCATGTTTTCAGCTCTCGCTATTGCCTCGGTTAAAACATCTTTAACGTTATCCATTTTTTCTGACGTTTCATCTTTTTCTACAGTATTATTATTATTAACTGCTTCGACCTTATCGTTCGCATCTTTTCCGATTTCTTCTTCTTCTGCTTTTTCACCGGCCGAATTCACTGTAGTGGTGTCCACTTTACTCACTTCAACATTATTATCGTTTGTTTCTTTTACCTTATTATCAGCCGTCATCTCTTTGACTACTTCCACTTTATCGTCTGCTGCAGTGCTCTCAACTGATTCTCCTTTTTCAACCGCTGTACCATTTCCTTCTTTTACTTCATCGACCGCAATATTTTTAGCTCCTTCCATTTCATTCGCCATACTACTGTCTTTTACTGCTTTCACTTTATCTACCGCAAAGTTTTCGAATAATTTTATTTTTTCCGTCACCGTTTCTTTCATCCCTTCCACATTATCAATCACGCCATTTTTTGTCGTTTCTATTTTATCCAAAGCAGCATCTTTAACTGCTTCCATTTTATTAGATAAAATATCTTTCGGTGTTTCGGCAGGAGCATTTTCTGTCGTTTCTTTTTCTTTCTTTACCGTATCTTCTAATTTTTCGGAATCGTTATTTTCCAAAGTGCCTCCTTCACCTCCTTTCACTGTTTCTATCGTACCATCGACACCTTTCGGAGCGTCAACAGAGTTAACAATTTCTGTCACTTTTGAATCATCAGCTACATTATTTTCTAATGATTCAACTTTTTCGACGACGCCATCTTTCGCTGCATCAATTTTATCGACCGCAACATCTTTCGCTCCTTCCATTTTTCCATCTTTGTTAATATCTTTAACGTTTTCTACTTTTTCGGTTAAATTATTTTTTAACGTTTCTGCCTTATCGACTTCAACATTTTTAACTGATTCTACTTTTTCGGTCGCGTTCATTTTTTCTCCTTCCACGATGTCGCCAGAAACATTTCTCGTCGATTCGGCCATATTATCTTTCTTTCCTTCCATTTTATCAACCACCATTTTTTTCGCTGCTTCCAACTTATCGGTTATCATATCATTTACCGCAATTATTTTATCGTTCACGCCATCTTTAATTTCTCCTACGGTTTCGACCACCATATTTTTCATCATTTCTCCTTTTTCGACTGCCATTTCTTTTAAATGTTCAATTTTTTCGGTTAAGACGTTTTTTACGGCTTGCTCTTCATTATTTGGTTCACTTTTCGAATTGTCTCCATTTTCGTTTTCAGCTTTTTTCATAACCGACAAATCTTCAACCGTCTGATCATGTTCTGTGTTGACATTTTCAATTTTCTCTTTAATTTCTTCTGCTTTGTCGTTTTCATTATTAGCAATTTCGTTTACTTTATCTGCACTCTTTGCTTCTCCCAAATTTTTTTGCGACGGCTCTTTTCCCACCTCAACTTCTTTTGCTTTAAGGTCGTCTAATTTTTCATTTAAAATCTCTTTAACGTCTTGCACAATATCGACAGCCTTTGAAACTTGTTCGTTGACCAAATTAGTCATATCGTTTAAATTATTTTCCTTCTTATTATCCATTTCTAAATCACTCGAAGGTTTCTCTTCCAAACCCAGTTCCGGTTCGGGGAGCTTCGTCGCATTTTCTTTTTTCGTAACGGAATTAACGATTCCCTTAACGCTCCCGACGACGGCTTCCATCGCCGAATTCACCGCGTTCGTTATTTTTTCCTGCATGGGAATTTTTTCATTTTTCGATTCCTCCCTCTCTTCGTCCCCCTGATTTCCCGGATCCGTTTTCAACATTTTATTTTCGGGAACGGTGGGTAAATCGACGATCATTTCTTTTAATATTTCCTGAGATTCGACGGTCGGATTCACTTGCACGTCGTTCGTTAACGCTATCGATTTTTCCAATAGATTTTCAACACTTTTACCAGATTCATCTTTGAGCTGAATTTCCATTTCGTTTTCACCGTATCCGAAAAGAAAACGGGTAAAAATATGAATTGTTAACGAGATGGAATTTGAAAAAATTGTTAATATCGCACCCAGATTTGCTATTTATTTTCACTTAACAAAATATATTCACTTTAAACAAATAACAATCGCTTAACAAATCGTAATTCACACTGAAGTTACAAAATAATAATAATAATAATAATAATAATTAGCACATCAATTAAACACAAAAATTTTTTCGAAAATGAATCAAGATCTCAAAATTTATTCCTTTATATATATATTGGCGGGAATATAGACTGACTCTTTAAATTGATATATAATGCAGAAAAAAAAAAATTTTTTTTCAATGCTATGTTTAAAAAATATCATCAAATGTCGTTTTTTTTTTTTTTTTTTTTTTTTTTCGTAGGCAACAACAACAACAACAACAACCCCACTATTTTTATCAGAAAAAAAAAAAAAAAAAAAAAAAATGTAAAAATAAAAATATTGTTTTAACTCAAAATCTAAATCAAAAATTATTACGAGCTTAACGGAGGCGTCAGAAAAATTTTTTTTCCCTCTCCCCCCCCCATTTTATTATTAAACATATGTACTTTTGGCAAATCGAACCCTTTGATTTTAATAAGCTCATATTGAAAAACGTATCAAGTCCAATCGAGAGAGTAAAATGAATTTTCAATAAGTAAATTAGTACCTTTTTTTTTTTTTTTTTTTTTTTTTTTTTTCTTTTTGGTTCTTTTCTCGCTAATTCAATTAACAATTTTTGTTATATATAACTAAAACGCATATTTTTAACGAAATAATAATAATAATAAACCTGGGATAAATGCTTAACAACCCCGACAAATAAGAGCCTTGTCGTGTTTAAGAGTGACCATAATAATAATAATAATAACCTAACAACGACAAAGAATTTTAAAGTATTTCTCCCTAATTTCAAAAAAAAAAATTTTTTTAATTTTCCATGGGAAATTTTTCAAGTGACGTTTTTTTTTTTTTTTTTTTTTTTAAAGTATTTTATCAAAACTGGGGATCCGCCAAATGCCTCCTCATCTTCCTCCTCCTTCTCCTCCTCCTCTTAAATTTGTCATTCATATATTCACGCAATGATAATTTCGAAAAAAAAAAATTAAATTTGGGTCAAACAAAAAGTGCCAGAAAAAAAAAAAAATAATAGCAAATCTCGTTCGTGAAAATTATGGAAAACCTTGAAAGGAAAAACTGAATAAAAGAAAGACAGAGAGAGAGGGGGGGAGGAGGGGAAGGTACGAAATATAACAAACGGAAAAATTCAACACCTTTTAACACGAAATTAAAAACTACCATTAAAAAAAAAGTTACCCCCTTGAAAAAAAAAAAAAAAAGAATAAGAAAACGAACAAGGTCGAACTGAGAAATGAGAATTCGATTCTCATATTGATGACACAAAGTAGTGAAAGAGAAACAAGAATTTTCTTTTTTTTTTTTAAAATATCCAATTAAACGTGAGATGTTGTTATTAAAACGAATTTGATATTATTAAGGTATCAGGTTTTATTTGCATACCTAATTTTAATACGTTCGTTTTTCGAAAAGAAAATGAAAAAAAAAAAAGAAAAAAAATTTTCCGGATTTTCCTGACAACAATATTATTATTTAATCAAAACTTATTCGATTTAAATCATTTATTAAAAAAAAAAAAAAAAAAAAAAAAATTTTCCAAACTTGAAAACAAAACAAACAAACAAACAAACAAACAAACAACAACAACAACGTGAAAACATTAAAAATAGCAAACATTTTTCTTTGGTAAAATAATAATAATAAATTTTCCGAACCAAAATCAAAGGAAAAAAACAAACGTTTCATCATGGAAAATCATTCATTCGAAATCTATTCGGGAAAATTTTAACGATTTAAACCCCCCCCCCTCAGGCCCCCCAAAAAAATCAAAAATTAAATCCTGTCTGATTTTCCGGCCTTCGTTTTCCTTCTTAAACAAAAAAAACTCCTCAAAATAAAAATAATAATAATAAAGCTTAAGTATGATTCGGATTGAAAATTAATAACCCCCCCCCCAACGCATTTACATAATAATAATAATAATAATAATAATAATAATAATAATAATAATAATAATGATAATGATAATAATAGCGCGTGAATAAAATAATTTTAAATTTAAATTATATATTATCAATCATACATTTATCCTTATTAAAAAAAAAAAAAAAAAAAAAACAATCGACTGAATGACTGACTGATTAACCGCAATCTGCGGTATATCATTTTATTATTGAAACAATAATAATAATAATAATAATAATAATAATAATTTTTTTTTGTTCTACAA